GCCGTGGAACCGCGCTGCAGTGTAGCCGTGCAGCCGTGGCGCTGTGGAGCCGCGTCTTCATGCCGCCGTGTCGACGTGCCGCTCTGTCGCCATGCCGCCGTATCGCTGAGGATGTGCAATGGTGGACGCTGTGCTGCGCCTGGACGCGGAGGGGCGCGTGATCGACTTCGACGCCTGGCTTGTCGACCTTGGCCGACACCTGGCAGGTCAGCGCCATGATGGCCACTCCATGACTGTTCATGTCGATGGCTTGCTTCCCCGCCCCCCCGTGCCTATTGTCCTCGCTGATGCCCCTACCACTGCTGAGCGTGAGGCCTTTACCGCTGCTGCGCTTGCTCGCATTGTATGGGATTCACGCAACGCCGTAACGTAGCTTGCCATTAATCATGCCCTCCCCCTGTTTGAGCGCCCCCACTTTACCACTGTAGCGAACGCTCAGGCATTCTTAGAGGCAGTAGTTGATCACAACTCCACGCCCGCCTCCGCCTCCGCTGGGTGCCTGATCCTTCCCATGATTTTCCCTAAACTAGCGGCCTTCCCCACTATCGCTGACCTAGCCACTCACCTCCGTGCACTCGAGGCTAGCTACCACACAGCTAGCACTGAGGCCCAGCTCCTTCCTGCAGCCACTATGCGCTACCCTTTACCTCATAGCCATGCGCCTTCCGGACCGCTTAGCCACTGCCCGCGACCAATTCCTTAGTCAGCACCCTGGTGACCTTACCCTCACCGCCTTTGTCGCTGCCCTGCCTGAGATAGAGACTCGCCAGCGTACTATTGCTGAGTCGAGTGGTATTGCGGCAGCCCCTATCTTTCAGGGTTGTGCACCCTCCCAATGCACTTATGCTGGCATTTCTGCCGCTGTCACCGAGACAGCCCCTGCTGATGTAACCGCCGTTGCGGCCTCAGCGCAGCCACGTTTGCGTAGGGGCCACTGCCCCAAGCAGGGGCGTGGTGGAGGTCAGGGTGGTGCGGGTGGTGGAGGTGGGGGCAGGGACAGCGGTTCCGATGAGGGGACCGGGGTTGGTGCCCCGGAGCAGCAGCAGACGCAACAGCAGCAGCAGTTATGGGGTCGCCTCCCGCAAGGGTGGCCCGGTGCCTCTGGTGGTGGTGGCTGCGCTTGCGACCTTTGCAGCTCGGCGTCGAGCGGCAGCTCCAGCGATGGGGGTTGCTAGTACCAGCTCCAGACCGGCCCCTTCTGCGACACTGTGTGTGGTCGTCCGCACCCTACCACCTGTTACTTTCATCGCCTCGATGACCTCTTTCGCCGCCGCTTCGGCCCGGCACCGGACCTCCCCGACTGGTTCAGTCTTGGGTGTCGTGGTGTGCTTGTTTTTGATTAAGACATGGATCAGATTGATTATGCTTTGCATTCTCTGTATGCTGATGCCTCTAGTGTGACCAGGCCTTATTACCCTGCGTTGCCTAATTTAGGTGTGCCACCTGTGTGTAGTCTAGACTCCCCTGCTGCGTCAGGCATAGGATCTTCTGTTTTGTTTAGTCTAGGCTCCACGCTCTCTCCTCCGCTCGCTACAGCCTTTGCTTCGCTCTCCTTCACGCTTGACTCTGGCGCGTCTGCCTGCTTCTTCCGCGACCACACTGAGCTCACACCGCTTGCCGACCCTGCAGCTATCGCGCTTGCTGACTCCTCCTCGGGCCCTATAGTTGCTCGTAGCTCCACTACCCTTTCCTGTCCGGCGGTTCCCTCTGCCTCCCTTACGGGCCTGCACATCCCCTCATTCTCCATGAACCTAGTTAGTGTCGCCTGTCTTAAGGACCTTGGCGTTACCACTACATTCCCAGAACACGAGCGGTACGTGGTCTGTACCGACGCCGCTACAGGTACACCCTTCAATACGTTCCCCCAGAACCCTCGGTCTGGCCTGTTTACCCTCAACAATGAGTCCCCCTTGGTGAGGGCATCCCCCCAGGTGCCTACGTCTACTCAATCGCTGCGGCCTGCTCGTGTCGGTCGCTCAATCACCCATCGCTTCTGTGGCACCATCGTCTAGGTCACCCCGCTCTCCCTCGTCTGCATCACATGTCCCAACATGGTCTTGTCATAGGTCTCCCTGTGTCGCTCCCAGCCCTCCCTCCCTCGCCTACGCCGTCGTGCACACCTTGCGTCGAGGTCCGGCTGCACCGTGCTCCTCACTCCTCCTCGCTTCGCCGCTCCAGATGCTGCACCTGGACGTCTGGGGCCCAGCCTCCATCCACGGGCCGCGTCAAGAGCGCTACTTTCTAGTGCTTATCGATAACTAAACGCGCTACACCACGATGTTTCCTCTAGAGCGGAAGGCCTACGTGCCGGACGTTCTTATCCCGTGGGTCGTAGATGCGTGCGTCCACCGCGGTCTCCCCGTGCTGTGTCTCCACTCCACTCCGGTCGACTGGCCAGTTCTGTCGTGCGGAGGGCATCACCTAGTCCTAAACCCTGCCGGACTCCTCGCTGAAGAATGGGGTCGCTGAGCAACGCATCGGTTTGGTCATCGAGGTGGCTTGTACCTCCATGATACATGCCGATGCACCCCATTTCCTGTGGCCACTCGCTATTCGCTATGCTGCTCACCAGCTTAACCTGTGGCCGCACTCTCAACGGCCGCAGGTTTCACCGACCCTTCTCTTGATCGGGTTCTATGGTGACGCGTCTGCGTTCCACGTCTGGGGCTGCCTTGCTCACGTTCATGCCTCTAACACTGACAAGCTCACTGCCCACACAGTCCCCTGTATCTTCCTTGGCTTCCCCCTCGACTCGTCTGACTGGCACTTTTGCCACCCGTCGTCCCACCGCTTCATTCACTCGCGTGACGTCACATTTGATGAGTCTGTCTCCTTCTACCACCGCTTTCCTCACAGAGGTCTCCCAGTTTCCCCGCCCCTGGTTTCGGTTCCCGCTCCCCCGGTGTCACACGATCGAATGTATTGAGGAGCTTTTATACTTCTGAAGTACATAAGGTAACCAGGTTTATCCTATCCCATGGGAATAGACCCTTGAGCTAAGGAGTGACTTAACACTCATGGTGTCAGACACCGAGAGCCAGTACCTAGGTCTAAACATCGTCGAAGATGACTCGGCGTTCTACCTACACGCCGGAAAATATGCAGGTGTTGTCGTGAAGAAATTTGGCCTAACGCCAGTCGCAGTCGCGACTCCCTATCGCTACGGGAACAACAGCGAAACCTCCGCATAGTTCCCCGCGAAGCAAATCCAAGATTATCAACAGAATCTCGGCTGTCTACTGTTCGCAGCAGTAACCTGCCGACCGGATCTGTCATACAGAGCGATCCAACTGGCGACACACCTGAAGCAAACGGAGCAAGAGGATCTCGAGGAGCTAAATCGGGCACTTCTCTACTTCGTCTCTACGCCGACGACCAGACTTACCTACAGCAAAGTAACACCATCGTCCGTACAGCTACTCGGCTACGTCGACGCCGACCACGCGGGAGAAAGGGAGAATCGTCGCTCCAGAACGGGTTACATCTACCGACTAGAGCCTATCGAGACTATCTCCTGGCAATCGAGCAAGCAGGAACTAATCGCGCTATCCTCGGCTGAAGCGGAATACATCGCTCTCTGGTCTGCGACCAAGGGAGGACTTTACCTACGGGAGCTACTCGAGGAAGCGAAAATTGCAACCATTCCCGCCTTTTCACTATTTTGCGACAACCAATCCGCGATCAAAATCGCGAACAAAAACGAGTTCGCCAATCGAACCAAGCACATCGCTCTGCGGTATTTCTTCATCAATGACGAGATCGCGAAGGGGAGACTTCAACCCAGTTACTGGCCCACGACATAAATGGCTGCAGATTACCTGACGAAGAAACAGGCAAAGGCAAAGTTCGATTACTGCATGCTGCTGACCGGGCAGATAAACGTCACCGAATCCAGACACGTCAGCACTCCAGAAACGAAGGGGAGTGTTGGAAATACCTCGAAGGCTTAAGCGTTTCTGAAGTGTAACACCACACTCGAAGAAATGTCGTATCGAGTACGCGAGTCAACGGAGGTTACACGAGGAGGTTGGACGAAAGAACACGAAAGGACGTTGGGACTCGAACTGTCGCAACTAGAGGTTGCGACTGACCGTTACGACTACAAGGGTGGTAACTGAACCATCGATCGAGTCGCTGTGCGACTCGATAACCGTTTCTTCAACTGTATTCTTCAACTACTCTATTTCCTATTTTCTATATATTGTTGTGTGCTTGTTTCTTTTAATCAATCACTTGCTCTCACATACTAGTGCAAGGGTTCAACTACTCAACACTTTCGCTGCACTTCTCAAGTATCTTGTACAAGTGGGACTTAGTCTCTGGAAAGATCCTAAGGGCTTTTTGTTAAAGTAAGAATTGAATGATTGACTAGAAGTGGAAACCTAAAACAAGTACTAGTTGGTTGTACTCACTAGAAGCATACCTCAGTCTAGCCTATAACTTCTACATAGCTAATATGTATAAGTTGACACTTTTCTCAACCCAACAGATAGAATATGCATTGATGAGAAGCCATGATAAGTATTGAGATAAATTGGGTCTGGAAAGCATAAGCAGCATGAGTTGTTGGCCTTCATGCTTCCCTTAGTCACACGGTTCATGATAATTAGAACAGTGTGCTAGTTGGGCAATGTTACGCTGGAATGAAGAGGGAGAAGTAATTTGATAAGTGACAGTGAGTTAGAGAAGCAAATCTCCGAGGAACTTCCCTCCCTCTAACTACCACGCCTGTGTCTGTTACCGCGTATGCATCCGAATTCTGTTAGCCTTCACGTGTACACCTAACCCGCGCTATGTTTTCACCCGGCACTATCTCGAGACGCGCGACACGTGCGCAAACGACGAGCTACTATAACGCTTACGACAAGTTCCATCTGCGCAATCGACAAGCTACAATTCAGAACACGACAAGCTACATCGGAACAAGAAAATAGCGCGGGTTCGGTGTACTACGTGTGCGGGACTACTAAGCTACTAGGCTACCAAGCTACTGCTAGCTCACATTAGGAGCACCTAACCCAGCTGAGTCAGCCGTGCCAGCAGCCGACGTCACACCATCCAACACTGCTTCAAATGGGGACGCGAATCGTCTTCGCGGCGCTATTCGGTTTCAATGCCGCGGCGCTTATTCTCCTCGCGTCAATCTCGCTGCTGTATCTTCCTCGCTCCCATGCCACCTCCCTCTCTCCTACCGAGTGCGAAGCTCTAGGATTCACGGGCCTTGCTCTCTGCTCGGATTGCGACCAGCTCGCCACTTTCGTGAAAGACGCCAGTGAGTGGGAAACCATTTCTACTGCAGCCGATCCATCCTTCCTTCCGCAGACACTATCTCCGCTGCCGCCGCTATGTCCGCTGCCGCCGCTATGTCCGCTGCCACTGTTTCCGTATCCACGATCTCTGCAACCAAAATAGTAGATTTCGCGATGCGCAGCGGTACAACTGAACCGCGTGACGTTAAGTAAGGTTCAAGAGACCCTTAACTCCGTGAGGAGGCGTCCACCCAATTGCTTCCTCCCTCCCATTAAATCCATTCGCTTCCATGTGAATCCAATCCCTCCCATTCAAATCCAATCCCTCCCATTCGAATCCAATCCCTCCCATTCGAATCCTACCTGCCTGGCGACGCTTATCCTTACCCTACCTCGCGATCACCCTGATTCCGGCCATGAGATTACCGAACAACAGACTTCTCCTTTTCCCGTGCTGCTTCATCCCCGCATTTCACGTTCTCCTCGCCTCCCGTTCCCCGCGCATCCCGCTCCCCGCGCCTCCCGTTCCCCGCGTCTCCTGTGTGTGCAGAGCTCGAGGCGGAGTGTCGCAGCTGCTGCGTCACTGACGAAGACAAGTCCACCCAGCAGGTCCGATCCATCCATCCATCCATCCATCCATCCATCCATCCGTTCGATTAGCTTCTCCTTCACGCCGCATCGTCCATCACCGCCTGCTGCTCTTGTCTCCTCTTCCCCCCTCCCCCCATCCTCTCCGCTCCCCTCTCCCCTCCCCCCCCCCCTTCCCCCCCGGCCCCCTCCGCCCTTTCCTCCTCCGCCCCCCGCTCCTCCTCTACTGTCTTCACATTTCCCCCCCCTCGCCTCTTCCCCCTTCCTCGTCTCGCCTCGCGCCGTGCCATGCCTTGCCATGCCATGCCATGCCATGCCATGCCATGCTAGTACGCGTCGGCAGTGCTGAAGGCGTGCATGAGGCGGGTGCGTGCAGTAACCTCTCTTTGCGACGCCTCAAAAACCCTAGCCTGCACTCCCGCGATTCACTTTTCCCTCCTTCCTTCCTCGCCCCTCCTCTCGCACACCAGTACACATCGGCAGTGCTTTTTGAGTCGACTCAAAAATCTCCAGTACGCATCGGCAGTGCTGGAGGTGTGCATGAGGCGAGTGCAGTGGATGGATGCCCGTCGTAGCTTCAACACAACCCTTCCTCCCCTCCCTAGATGTGCCTCTCCCCTTATATCTCCCTTCCCCATGCCTCCTTTTCCCGCGATTCACCTTTCCCTTGGCCCTCCTCTCCACACGCCAGTACGCATCGGCGGTGTTGGAGGTGTGCATGAGGCGCGTGCAGTGGATGCCCGTCGTTTCTTTAAGACTTCTCACAAACCCTTCCTTCTCTCTCATCATGTGCCTCTCCCTTCCCTCGTTTATTTCCCCTCCCCTTGCCTCGTCTCCCGTGCGCCTCCTTCTCCCTCCTCTCGCACATCAGTATGCATCGGCAGTGCTGGAGGTGTGCATGAGGCGCGTGCAGTGGATGCCCGTCGTGTCAGAATTCATCGAAACTAAGGCCACCGACTATCCCAATCTGCAGGTAGGTTCCTGCTTGTTTTGAGGTTTTAGGCCTCAAAACTGAAACTTTAATTCAGGCGCCTCAAAGGTAGGTACCTTCTTGCTTCTTTCACTCTCTAGTTTTGAGACGTCTCAAAGCTTGATTTTAAGACATGTCCCCTCCTCCTACCCACCCACTCTCCTCTTTGCCTTCGATCCCGTGCTCCCCACTTGCCCTATCCCTCCCTTGGCGTCCCTTCAATTCTCTCTTCCTCCATCTCCTGTTCGGGTCACTGTCTCTCCCAAGCTCACACACCGCACCACCATGCTGCCCGCCATATTCGTCACTTCTTCTCCCCCGCTATGCGTGGTTTCTCATCACCCTCTCTTCTCATCACCCTCTCGTCTCATCACCCTCTCTTCTCATCACCCTCTCGTCTCATCACCCTCTCCTCTCATCACCCTCTCTTCTCATCACCCTCTCTTCTCATCACCCTCTCTTCTCATCACCCTCTCTTCTCATCACCCTCTCTTCTCATCACCCTCTCGTCTCATCACCCTCTCTTCTCATCACCCTCTCTTCTCATCACCCTCTCTTCTCATCACCCTGTCTTCTCATCACCCTCTCGTCTCATCACCCTCTCTTCTCATCACCCTCTCGTCTCATCGCCCTCTCTTCTCTTTTTGCATATGTGCCTCTCTCTCTCCCAGGTCCGCTATCGAATCAACGCCCTCCCCAAGCTCATCATGAAGGACGCAGACGGGAAGAGCGCTGACGTCATCAGGTGAGTGCCGCCACCACTGGTGGCACCATCTTGTGGGTATGGATTTAGAGGCTTTGCTGCGGCCTGCATTTTGACCAACACGTCTTGCCCTCACTTCCTCATACTCGCCTCTTCCCCCCTGCCCGACACATCACTCTCTTGCCGTCCTCTCCCCTTGTTCCTCTCCCCTCCACCTCGTTCCCTCCCAGGATTGAGAACTGGAAGCTAGAGCACATTGAACAGTTTCTTAAGGAGAAACTCACTGCTGGTACCACCACCAGTGCTGCTGCTTGACAGACCCTACTGCCACAGCCGCATGATGGTCTTAAAAATCTCATGAAATCATTATCACACACCAGTATTTGATTCTCATCACGAGGTCGTGTTACAATCAGGGATCTTGTTTGCAACACAGTGGGGAAATGACAGGTCACACACAGTCTCACAGGGCAAATTAGTGCCGGTATCTTGTCAGCATTGGCCTTCGGGCATATTCCTACGTAATTGCATAAGCACTGCAATGGCTTTTGCTGATGCTTGTGCCACTTCAAACGCGCAACCTGCAAATCAGCAAAAACGAACGCTGGTCGCGCAAGTGAAATTTGAGCCATCGATCGTCTTTTTCATCCACGCGGATGCCATCTGACACACGGCTGTGAGCTTGTGACTCTGGAGAGGGTGACTATCGAGTGGAGCAATCAGGACAAGTTGCGCGAAATTTTCGTGCGTCTACCCCTTGCTTGTGCGTGGCGTTGTATTTCGCGAAGGGGCATCAGCATCAACAAAAATCCTTTGTATACCTGATGCTACTTCGTAGGACTACGCCCTTATGATCTCGAAGACCATATTTCAGTGTTCAAATCCCGAATGGAGAGCAACGGTTGGCATGCAAGTCTTCAAACCTACGGTGGTTCACCGAACGTTCCCTTGAAAGCATTCACATCACACGGCCGCACACCCCCCCGCCTTTGGTATTTGACTAGCTAATGGGAGTTCCACTGTGCTGCATCGTCTTCTCGTTCGAGTGTAGTCACTGAGGGTATTTCACTCCATGGAAGGATACTGAATATGCCCTCAGGGTATTATTACTCCATCGACGAATACCATGCCAGCTTGGTCCAGTACGGGTATCTCTATGTCACCAACAGGGAGACTCATGCTCTTCCTGCAATTTCCTTTCAAATAAATTCACCTGTTACAAGCGCCCTCGATACAAGCCACAGAGGAATTTTGGAAGTACGGCACCGTCTTCTTGGTAGTCTGTCAGGTGTTTTTCCCCTCTTTGTCATTGGTCGCGACTGCCGGATTGCCAGAATACGCGCGCAAAACGCTCCAGAGCGTCGATATTGTTCCGACCGAATCGTGAAGGTCCGTTTTCCGTCCCCCCGCTCGAATCCACTCCAACTTTGGGGGCTTCTGGTTCTGGTTCCTCCACTCGTCCTGCCTCAATGTCGCCGCCAGGGCAGATGAACTGAACTGAACCTCGAATCTCGAGGTGATGATGTGATCCATTGGAACTCTTGAGGTGATCCTTAAGATTCTTCACATCGGGATTCTCCCTGCTCGTTTTGCCAAGTTATGAGTTCGCTCTGTCAGAGAAGCTGAGCTCGTCCAGCGCGATGGACCACCTCAGCGGGTCTCAATGAGATTTTAGCTGGTGCTTGGCTATGGCTCGTCGCTCTCACACTAGGCTCCTGATAGCTCCAATATCCGTCCATCATCTGTGCTCGCTGATGGACGCTCAACGCAAGCTAGAAGCACGCTCCGTTAATAACAGTCCCGGTAGCCTTCTCCTGATCCCTGACGCGTTGCTCATTTCGTGACGCATTCCCGTCTCGTGTTACAGCGTTACACCGCGCAAGCGTGCGCCAGAGCCATGCGACAGAGACCTCGGGCTGCCAAGCGGCACGCATTCTCTCCCCAGCATAAAGTCCCTCTGTTTCCCCAAGCCGTATCAAGAGTCCTGTTCCCATCTGCGTTGCGGTTCGGCATCGCATCCTGATCCCTCATTCCCATTCGTAGCCTCATTTAACTACCGCCATTGTAACACCACCCCTTACTTAGCATCATTAGTTTCACACCATCAGGCAGATCGCGTTCTAAGTCGTCATCAGTCGTCAACTACTGGGTCGAGTACTAAGACTTCATTATGAGGCCTTTAAGGCGCACCCAGCAGCCTCCGGACCACGTCCAGGAAGCTTCCACTTTTGGCGGCCCGATCCCCGGATCGACCAGCAAGGAGAGGGAGATTCCACGCAAGTTCGACCTCTTATGTTTTGAAACGAAGCTGCTTCCATCGGGGGAGGGGCGATCAGGCATTCGCGTATTCGCGGCAGCGCTGCTGCTGCTAGCGGTGACCTTCGGGCTGGTTGTATCGGAGGTGAAACTACGGCCGAGATTCAATCCTTTCGGGGAGACTGGCGCCGCCGGATCTGCGTCGTCCGCGTCGCTTCTCGTCTCGCCGGGTGGTTCGACATGCCGCTTTGAGAACAGCGCCAGGCAGCAGGCAGGTTGATAAAGCGCTGTGTGCGTGTGTGTGGGTGTGTGGGTGTGTGTGTGTCAGTGTTCTTGCATGGTCACGAGCGCTAATGGTTCTGGAGATCCCAGAAACCGTAGTCACGCTTCAACATGCAGCTTTGAGGACAGCGCCAGGCAGCAGGCAGGTTGATAAAGCGCTGTGTGCGTGTGTGTGGGTGTGGGTGTCTGTGTCCTTGCAAGGTCACGAGCAGCGGTTCTTATCTGGTCAAGAGGTTAAAGTATGATCAGCTCTGTTCGCGACTTCGGACTGAAACGAGAGAAAAAACCTTCTGGTTACCACTCCCCGTCCCCTCCTCTCGTTCGCTCACACTCACCCTCTTCTTGTTTTTTTTCCCTTCTTCCCCCATCATCTTCCCCCCGTCGTCTTCCCCCCATCGTCTTTTCCCCATCGCCTCCCCCCAGGCCTGCTTATCTGCCAAGCTGCTCCAATGTACCGCAGCGTCAGAATCCCACCGCTCATTCCTCGCTAACTTAGAGACGTCTTTAAGTGAGCTGAAGCATGCTATCAGCCGGTCAGACGCCAAGCAAACGGGTAATAGCACGGGATCTGGTACTGGTGGTGCTGGTGGTGCTGGTGGTGATGGTGGTGATGCTGCTGGTGATAGTGACGATGCCGCGGATGGTGTTACGGCTGCTGGTGCTGGTTCTGCTTCGGCTTCGGCAGATGCTTCAGGAGGGTCTCAGGTCCTGACACGTGTCCTGAACGGATACGTGGAGAGACTTCAGCAGCTAGTGGACAGACACAAGCAGGAGCTGGATTCTGAGGAAGTGGCAGGGATAAGGGCAGCTGGGGAGGAAGAACAGAGGAGATTGGATGAGAATGGGGGTAGTTCTGGGCAGGACAAACCAAGCGGCGATGGAGGGGGGAGCGGAGAGGATGGGATGGGTGAGGGGACAGGAGATGCGCGGATGAGAAGTCAATTGCAGTCTCCGCAGGCGAAGGGAGAGGTTGTAGAGAGGCTGCTAAGAGTATGGGGGATCGTGGGCGGTCTGCATGGGTATGAGGGTAACGGAAGCAAGCCAGCAGAGGAGGGATTGGAGAAGGATCTTCTTCAGCTGGGGTTTGGGCGCAGGGGAGAGGGTTTTGGGCTTGGAGGGAAGGAGAGGGGAGAGGATGGGGGTTTGGAGAGAAAGGAGGAGGAGGTGGGTGAAGCAGGGGAGGACGGAGCGGAGGGGAAAGGGGGAAGAGGGGTGGGTGGAGACAGGCTCGGGGCAGAGGGGGAGGGGGAGGGGGAGGGTGAGGGGATCCAGTGGTCGATAGCTGAGGTGCTGAGTGTTGCCAAGCTGCCTTATCCGTCGCATATTGAAGACTGCAATGCTGCCAGTGCAAGGAATCGGTATGACTTGGAGTGTCCTCTGAGCCTGCCTCTTTCATTGTGAGGCGCCTGAAAGCTGTGTTGCTAAGCTGCCTCATCCGTCGCATATCGCTTCGGCAGTAGACAATTGATGAGTCCCGACCTTCCCATCTGCCCTTGCCCTGCCTGATTCTCTCCGGTCTCTTTCCCCCTCCCTCCTTTCTTTTCCCGCAACGTCTCTCCCCTCCCTTACCGCCTCCTCTCCCCTCCTCTCCCCTCCCCTCCCCTCCCCTCCCCTCCCCCCCACCCCGCCCGCCTACACACACAGTCTGTTTGACTCGCGCTCATCCAACGGTTCTCTGCCTGTGTGGGGGCAGCAGGGAGCGCGGCTGCAGCATGCAGTGATGCAGCAGGCATTGGAAGAGGTGGTGGAGACAGAGGAGGCAGAGGGGGCAGAGGGGGCAGAGGGGGCAGGAAAACTTGGTGCTTGGCCGAATGGGATTGGCCCATTTCCCCCATGGGTACGTGGACAGTGCTTATAGTGCGTATATTTCATGCAGGTACAGTGGATTGGGAGCGAAGACTACAAGTGACAGGTGGAGATGAGGATAATCTGCCTCACTCGCAGGGTCCAACACGACTTATGGCAGCACCAGCACCCCAGGGACTGCACTTTCCGCCTCCAAACCTCAAACCCTTTTACTCCCTCCCCTCCGCCTCCCCTGTTCGTCTTCTGGCCTCTGTTCCCACTCCAGGTGACAGGAGCAGTCGACAATAACCTGCCGCCCATGCGCAGCATCCAGCATGACTTGAGGCGGCACCAGCACCCGCATCCGAAGGCCCTGCATTGCTGCCCCCAAACCCTCTACACCCCCGTCCCTCCCCTCTACTGCCCCCGTTCCCATTCCAGGTGACAGGCGCAGATGAGGATAATCTGCCTCTCACTCGCAGGGTCCAGCATGACTTGTGGCTGCACCAGCACCCGAGGGACTGCACTTATGTTGATGAGGGGGAGGAGGAATGGGGGGAGGAGGGCGGGAAGGAAGGGGGAAAGGGAGCGGGGAAGGGAGGGGACGGGCAAGAAAGGGGGGACGATGAGGAGGAGGAGGAGGAAGTAGGAAAGAGAGAAGAGAAAGAGAAAGAGGGAGAATCTGTAACAGAAGAGAACCCAGGGAAAGGTGCTGCTACGGGGAGGGAGGGGAGGAGGAGGATGATGTTGGGAGTGCGGAATGAGGCTGGGGGGGAGAGTGTGGGGGGCGGGAGTGCAGGGGGGAAGAGAGTTGGGGGGAGCGAGTGGGGGAAAGGCAGCGAGCAGAGTGGGAGAGCCAAAAGAAAGGACGCTCCGGCGCTTCTTGCTAGTCGACGGTCGGCAGATCTACCGGCAGTACATGGGTATAGGGGCGCAGATCAGCTGGCTCACAGGCGCGCTAGCAGAAGCAGTGAGAGAGAACCGCATCATGGTGATCACCCACTATGAACGGGCGGACCATGGCGGGTGTGCGGGGCGGGATAGGGCGCGCTGGTCGTGCTACTTTGCTGATGAGACCACGGAGGAGTGCAGGAGGAGGGCGGTGGAGTTGGCTGGGAACAAGAGGGCGGTGCGGCAGGGGCTTGTCTCGTTATCTGGAGGGCACTCGCCGAAACCGGCACGGTTCTTTCTGTACGACCCACCCAGGTATGTCCTTGAGACGCCTCCCAACCATAGAGGAGGAGCGCAGACGGAGGGCGGTGGGGCTAAACACGCCTGTAGAACCATAGAGGAGGAGTGCAGGGCAGGGGAGTGGAGGGCGGGATAGGGCGCGCTGGTCGTGCTACTTGGCTGATGAGACCACGGAGGAGTGCAGGAGAAGGGCTGTGGCGTTGGCTGGGGATTGCAGGTCGGTGAGGCAGGGCCTTGTCTCGTTCTCTGGAGGGCACTCTCCAAAACCAGCGCGGTTCTTCGTTCTGTACGACCTGCCCAGGTGAGGGTGGTGAGGGTGGTGAGGGTGGTGCGGGTGGAGGGGCTGGGGATCTCAGGGCGGTGCGGCAGGGGCTCGCGGCGTTCTCTGGAGGGCACTCGCCGAAGCTGGCGCGGTTCTTTCTGTACGACCCGCCCAGGTAGGTTCTTGAGTCAACCTTTTTCTGTCGACGCAAGAGGACAGTCGAAGTGAGAGGGAGGCTCATGGCCGCACCAACGTGGATACCAGGCGCTGGCCGCCCAGGCCACTCACCTGCCTTCCCACGTTCAACAGCATGTGGGCAAACCATGAGACCACATGCAGAGGACAATCCAAGTGAGTGAGAGGGAGGCACAGGGCCGCACCAACTTGGATGCCAGGCGATGGCCGCCTGGCATCCATCCAATCCAACGTGGTCGCCCAGACCACTCACCCGCTACCTCATGTGGTACTCCAGCCGTCATAAACTGCGTAGTTGAACGGCAGTCCACCCGTTACCCGATGCTTGGTGCGCTTGCTTCCCCACTCGCTCACCTCCCTTTTCCCCTGTCTCCTCCCCCGTCCCTTCCCCTTGTCTCGTTCCTCCCTCCCTTCTGCAAACCAACAGCATGTGGGGCAAACCGTGGGACCACGTGCAGAGGACGGTTGAAGTGAAAGGGAGGCTCATAGGCCGCACCAACGTGGACGCCAAGCGCTGGTGGTTCGCCCAGGCCTGCGCTACCTGATGCGGTACCCCAGCCGTCGTAGCCTGCGTAAATCAAGGGCCAGCCACTCGCTCTCCTTCCCCCCGTCTCCACCTTCTCGTTCTACCCGTTGTCACCAGCATGTGGAGAAGACCCTGGGATTGCATGCAGAGGACGGTTGAAGTGAAAGGGAGGCTCATAGGCCGCACCAACGTGGACGCGCGCCACTGGTGGTTTGCCCAGGCCACTCGCTACCTGATGCGCTACCCCAGCCGTCATAGACTGCATAAATCAAGGGCCGGCCACACGGTCCCTGAGGCTTGGTGCGCTTGCCCACTCGCTCTCCTCCTTTCCCCCCGTCTCCCCCTTCTCGTTCTACCCGTTATCACCAGCATCTGGGGAAGACCCTGGGATTACATGCAGAGGACGGTCGAGGTGAAAGGGAGGCTAATAGGCCGCACCAACGTGGACGCCAGGCGCTGGTGGTTCGCCCAGGCCACGCGCTACCTGATGCGCTACCCCAGCCGTCGCCTTTGCCTTCTCACTAACAAGGCGCGGCACGAGGCGTTTGGGAGGGAGGTGGCGGAGCTGGCTGCTGCTGCTCTCCCGGATGGGCTGCCAGAGGTGAGGGAGAGGGGGGTTCAGAGGTGAGTGAGGGAGGGATTGTGTGGGAGTGGGTGAGGGAGTATGAGCGAGTGTGAGGGGGTGTGAGCTGGACTGTGAGAAAGTGAGTGAGAGGAGTGTGATCTTGTCCGCGCCGTGCATTCCCCCCTGTAAGTTATTCTCATTCTTCACCCGCTACCTGATGCGGTAACCCAGCCGCCCGCCTGTGCCGCCTTGCTAACAAGGCGCGGCATGAGGCGTTCGGGAGGGAGGTGGCGGAGCTGGCTGCTGCTGCTCTGCCGGATGGGCTGCCAGAGGTGAGTGTGCGAGCTCCCTGCCAGGGGCGAGGGTCTGGTTGTGGCTTTTAGTTTGTACTTTCTTGCTGCTATCTGCTGTATGCTTTGCTCATCAGTACGAAGGACAGTATGTGTGAGTGAGTGAGTGAGTGAGTGATGTGGTGGGTGAGAGGGTGTGTGTATGAAGGTCGAGTGCAAGGGGGGAGGCGATACCCGGCAGTGCACGTGCGGCAGGGAGACAAGTCCAGCAAGATGCGCCTGCTGCCGCTGGCGGTGTATGTGGAGCTTGCTGAGAAGTCCAGGGGGACAAGTCCAGTGAGGTGAAATTAGACACGCCTCGTACCTCCAAGTCTTTTCATCCGCACCCTTTGTTTCATCCCCACCTTTTGCACCCCTGTCAGGTGCACCTGACCCCTGCAAAACTAGCCAAGCACAGGAAGCGGTACCAGGGGCTGGAGCCAGTATGGGCGGAGGTGAGGGGGGCGGCAGTGGGGAGGCGATACGTGGCAGTGCACGTGCGGCAGGGAGACAAGTCCAGTGAGATGCGCCTGCTGCCGCTGGCGGCGTATGTGGAGCTTGCGGAGAAGGCGCGGAGAAACTTCCCGGACGTTTCTGCCATGTGGCTGAGCACGGAAATGGAGGTGGGTCGGTGGGTGGTTGGGTTGGTGGTTGGATGGGTGGATGGGTGGGTGGCTGGAATCTGAGAAGTCTTTGAGGAACCAGCCTTGGGGGGAGGGTGGCGTGGTGGGTGAAGGAATGCATACTGAGAGCATAACAAAGTTTGGTGCTGGAGGCTTCCCGGCTGCTCTCCCCCCTGTCAAAGACACACGGCCTTTCCACTGCAAGCAACGTATCCATGCAGCCATACAAGGCGGATGTGGGCATGAGGCGCCTTCATTGAAGGGCATGGCTTTCTTCTACTCAACTCCTTCTCAGGATTATATCCCCAAGGGTCAAGCCGCCCCGTCCCCACCCCACCACAGGGTCGTCATTCTTCAGACTTCTCTGAAACGTCCCCACCGCACCCCAGGCTCCTCTCTCTCGTCTTTCTCCCAATCTCCATTCCCCACTCCCTCCCCGCTCCCTCATCCGTCCTCCACCCTCTCCACTGGGCCGTCAAATACACCGCCTTCCCTCGGCAAGGCGCAAGCAACGTTTCCATGCAGTCCTATGAGGCGGACGTGGGCGTGGGGGGACCATCGTTGAAGGGCGGGGCTTTCAACTCAACACCTACTGAACCTCCCATCCCCTCCAGTCATTCTCCCAAATCCCCCTCCTCACCCCCTCTCCCCTCTTCCCTGCTTCACCCCTGCTTGCCCTCTCCCCAACAGGACGTGGTGCAGGAGGCGTCCCGGCTGCTCTCCCCGCGCTGGGCCGTCAAATACACCGCCTTTCCACGGCAAGGCGCAAGCAACGTGTCCATGCAGTCATACGAGGCAGATGTGGGCGTGGGGCCAACTTCGGACAACGCGTTTGTGAACCTGGTTCTTGCTGCCGAAGCGGATCTCTTCGTGGGCACACTCGGCTCGACGTGGTCTGTGCTGATTGATAATCTGAGGGTTACTGGAGGGAAGGAGAAGGCGGGGTTTTTGAGTGTGAATAAGGACAGGTACTGGTTTAGCAAAAAGGTGGGGGGGGAAGGGAGCAAGGGTGGGGGATGAGTGTGAAGGAGCAAGGGAAGTGGGGAAAGGAGTTGTAGCACAAGAGTGTTTCAAATCTGACTGAGTTTGCTGCACTACAGCTGCCTATCTTCTCGCGGGTGGTCTGGGCTGGGGTTTGGGTTCCTGGGGATTAGTGCTATTTTGTGTTATGTTAACATGGAGGGAAACAAATTGGCATCATGTTCTCCATCAGTCGAACTGTCTTTTTGGCTCAAGACTATGATGCCGCATGCCATGCAATACCAGCACGGCTGAAACCACATCGAGAGGCAGGATGCAAGCTCTAGGGCAGGCATCTCAACACCCTGATTGCCCTGATTTTTCAGGGTATTTTTATATGTCGTCTTAAAAATCCGACCTAGATGTTTTTTAACTCTGATTCAGACAGTGTAAGAAATTGTTTACCCGTACAGAAACCGGGTTCCGGAGCCGTGTACACTGATCGGTCAGGGTGACGTTAAATTTACCCTGATACAGAAACCTTCAAGGACCAGACTCGTGGCGGATTTCGAGCGCGGGATTAGATGCATGCCCTCCGCCATAGGTATTTTCGTGCTGGCTTTCCTGCCCACTGGCACATGCGCTGTGGCTGACTCCACCTCAGACCACACCTCGTTGGCTCTGCGGAGGGACCTCATTGGTCGGTTTGGCAGCTTTGGTGCTGCGCTGCCATGGTCCTACGAACAACGCAGCAAGAAACCCCAGCAGGCAGCAACATGCGATGTGACTACAGACCATTGAAACTGCTTGCGTGCATGCCGCGCCCCCCCTCTCTTTCTGAGCCCATCACCTGCGTTCTGGAAAGACCCACCTGCTTCATCCCTTTCTTGCTCAAGCAGGGTCTCTCAGTATTCCTCACATCTCTGTTTCTCACCAACCTTATTCCCGTCGTCTTTCCTCTCACCATGGACAGCGACGACGATACGGACCAGGCAGAGCCTCCTCCTAGAAACGGGTTGAGTGTTCTAGGGGTTTTCCCTTTGTTTCCACCTACTATTCCCAACGTGCAGCCTACTAGTCCCGCTCGCCCCTCTCGCCTCTCTCCTCCTCATCACCAGAAGTATCCCTTTGAGCCCGTGTCACCTCTCTGCTCGTCGCACGATGACATGCCCAACCTCGATGTGGAGCATGCCGAGGGCACGTCCGAGCCCGCTGCCAGCTCGCGGGAGTCACCCGTCGACGCATCAACGAAGCGGAAGGCGTCCGCTCACTGGACGCAAAGTCCTCTGCCCTAGGTACCGCCACCGAAGAAGCCTGCCCCCGCGCCAACTCAACCCCCTCCAACTCCTAGCTCTGGGTTGAACCCCTCGTCCCCCGCTGATGCTGAGTACGCTATAATCAAGCGTCGTTTCGTCGACGACTGGTCTCGCCGATTTCCTTGGCTGCGATTGACACAGATGAAAAATGGTCGCCCTGCGTTGAAGTGTGCTGTGTGCTTGCAGTTTGGCGACGAGTTTAGCAACACCAAGTATGGAAAGAAGGGTGAGGGTGCACGCGACCTACAGGTGGGAAGCATCCGCATCCATGTCGGCACGCGGGCGCACAAAAATGCACTGAAAGCCAAGGAGGAGCGGGAGAGAGAGAAGGAGCAGCAGCGCACGCTTGACAGGTGGCGCACGAGCGACTCCTCGACAAAGAATCTCATACGGTGCTTCCATATTGCCCTCTTCGTCTGTAAGGCTGACGCTCCCATCGCCATGTACGTCGCCCTATGCTACTTCCTTGCGTCGGAAGGTTTGCCTGACCTGCCGCAGGGAGGGGCGTACGGGACGTACTACACTAAGTAAGTCTCAAAGCTCTTTATATTCCCTGCACTATGTTTGTTTGCACATAACACGATCCGCTGTTTGTTTTGTTGTAACGCTATTCTAACTTTTGTCGCTTATGTGCATGATGCTCCCGCACTACAGGTACGGCTTCAAACAGGGAACTAAGGCCATATCGAACTACCTGAGAGACGAGCAGCTTCAGCACCTTCTCTCTTCCCCCTACGTCGGCATTGCGATTGATGAGAGCACGGATCGCGTCCACGGCAAACACATGATTCTGTACGCCACCTTCTTCCACGGCAGTCACGTCGTTACCGAGTTCGTCGCACTGCTGTCGGTGGAGAGGATCGATGCCGCGTCGCTGACCGCCGTCCTGCTGCAACTTCTCTCGTCGATCGGCCTCGACCTGCAGAGGATTGTTGGCATGTCGACCGATGGGGCTTCTGTGATGACGGGCGCCACATCTGGGGTCGTCACCAGGCTGAAAAGCCGCATCCTACATCTCGTCGCGACTCATTGCATCGACATAGGTTCGTTGGGTCCCTAACTTGATCTGTGTGTTTCAACAATCGCCTAACATGTTTCCTTGTGCCTTGCATCCCCCCTCCCCCCCCCCCCCCCCCCCCCCCCATCCCCCTCTCCCTTACCACCCGTTTCAGAGAGGCTTTGGCTGCTAAGGACGCTGCGGCTGCCGTTACAAAACTCAACGTCATCGACATCCTCATCCGTGCTTTCGCCGACCTCGTCGGGCGGTCGAACGTTCAGCATGGCAGCTTTAAGAACGTTCAGCTAGTCTACTGCAACACCAACCTCGAGGCGCAAGGCATCTACGCCATTTGCTGGTTGTCTCGCGGGGAAGCAGTGGTGCGCTTCGTTGAGGTCCTCCCCGCTGCTGTGGTTTTGCTGCGAGGTCATCCTGGCGGGCTGTATGAGGTAGTTACGTCGTTCAAAGTACAGTACATGCTATACTTCCTGGCGGACATCCTTGAAGAACTAAACCACCTCAACACCCGATTCCAGCAGCGACAGGTATTGGGCGATTTTCCCTGTTGGCCTCCCATCTGCCTTTCAATCGCTGAATGCAACGTGCTTGAGCCTTTCGTGCAAAGCTTGTGTCAAAGCAGCTCTGCGTGACAAAGTCTATTTGCGTCTTCTTTTTACAATTCCTTCCCTATGCTTGTGCCACTTGTACTACCGAACCCCACTCGCAGGTTGACATGACGGTCGTTTCGTCTCTTATGGACAACACCTGCAACCGCATTACCGACCGATACATCAAGTGCGGAGGGGGAGTGTACTTCGGCAACGGCGGCAGCGTCAGGCTCAGGGAGTTCCTCCAGGCGCATGGGTCGCCCAACAACAGGCGGGTGCGCGTCCAAGGTGTGGACAATGAGGGCAACGCGCAGTCGTTCGAGTACGTGCTGCACGAGCGCATGGTGGACGGGCACACCTCCGAGAGCGACCTCGACTCATGCGCTGTCGTCTGCCGGAAGTTCGCGGTCGAGCTCGTGGGGAGTGTACGTGGCCGATTGAGAAGTCTTAGTGACATGGAGGGGTGCAAGCTCTACAAGGCGAAGACGTACCCGTTGGACGACGAGATGCGCCTGGCGCGGTGCAAGCAGTGGTTGAAGCAGAACCACGGCCTATTTGGAGGCAAGCTGCCTGGTGAGAGAAGTCATGGTAACTCTGCTTATACTCCATGTTTGCAGGTTCATACATACATACATACGCTATTGTTGCATGCTCCCCGAACTGTTGTCCACCAACCCTTTTACGTGCTTCCCTCCCGCTGTGATCCCTTGTCCAGGCTTCGACTACAACAAAGCCGTCCAAGAGCTGTGGTTCTTCACTGCGGCGATGATGTCGCAGTACAAGGACGACGGATTCCACCAGGGGCTCGCCTTGACGCTGGACAACAACGAATGGCAGAGATCGTACCCCAACATCCTCCGCCTCTGGCAGGCACTCGCCGTCCTTCCCCTCAGCACGGTCGAGTGCGAGCGGGGGTTCTCGAAGCAAAACCTCATTAAGAGTTGGGAGCGTGGGTGCCTTGGAGATGACACCCTAGGGGACCTGATGCGGTGCTCCCTCCTGCAATACAACATCGAGTGGTTCGATGTGGTTGCTGTCTTCCGCGGTGAGAAGCCACGCCGTCCCCTTCGAGATCTGAGCTCGGCCAACCCCACCTCTGTCGAAGATGGAGGGGCCTCTACCAGTGAGCCCACTCCATTGATGGAGCCGAGAGGATGACTGACTGACTCTGTAGGCTTTGGGGTATGCGCATAGTAGAGAGATGAGTAGAGTAGATGTGGTGCTGGTGGTGGTGTTGCATAGCAGTAGCAGTTGTCTTTGTGGGCCGTAGGCTCTATAGGGACAAGTCTTACAGGGTGGGCATGTACTGATTATTCCTAAAGATTCATGAAGTGGAAGGCAATTTTAGTGAAAGGAAGACGGGTGTTTTGAAATGTACTCTGAGAGTGCAGTCTAAGAATTTTTTACCCTTCTATTTCAGACTTGGATTTTTTTTCACCCTAGCATGTGTTGTGATATAATTGATACTTAGCATTTCTGTAAGTCGATTATGTGTAGTTAGTGTCGAATCATACCGTAGAAGATAAGTCCGTAGGATGACGTCAGCAAATAGCGCTCGTCATAGGACAGTCGTTTCAGTCACGGGAATAGTCGCACCCCTTCATTATCATCTAGGGCGCATAGCGCGATAGTGACGAACAGGTACATTAGCGAATAGGTACTTTTCAAAGTTAATAATGAAAAGTGTTCTTGAGGATTTGCAAAGTGTTCTTGTTTGAAGTTTTATATCAAGTCTCTTACAACATTAGACGATTTATTTCATGGTATGAGAGCTATCTGGAATTAAGACTACCGTCAATCATGACTGGTTCAACACCAGCACCATCTGCTGGATCGGTTACTAGAACTACTGGAGCACATGCCTCCACTACGGCCGCTGGTCTCTCAGCCTCTGGGCACTTTCCACCAGCCTACGCTAATATCGGTATGCAACAACAGAATCCGCCTTCTGTGAATACTCCAGGTGCTCCATCGACTGCACCTGCAACGCAACAGCAACAATCACAGACGACAATACAGCAACAAGCGTCAGTACAGCAACCAGTTTCAATGCAATCGATTTCATCTGCGTTCAGTGGAATGAGCCTTGACGGCTCAAGTTACATGCGTGGAGCTATAGCTCCAAGTACTTGTTCGTTCGCTTTCTCACCTTTTGTACAACAGCTGCAGTCACAGCAGTTTCAGCATCCTTTCTACATCTTCGCAACCACAGCCACAGCAAGTTCAGCAACAGCAACAACAGCAACAGCAACAACAGCAACAACAGCAACAGCAGCAACAACAACAACAACAACAACAACAACAACAGCAACAGCAACAACAGCCGGGCATTGTCTTTCAGCCTCCAAATTTACTTAACAATACTCAAATCAAGACAACCATACCTTTTAACGAAGTCGACTTCTACTCCTGCAGCTTCGAGTTTGAGCTTCTGGCACAGTCCGCTGGGCTTTGGCCGTTCTTCACCAGAGAATTCACCTATCCTGTTACGGGAACACAAATGGAGCAGCAAAGTTTCTTGCACGCCTCTCTTGGGGAGTATAAAGTTCTTGTACGGAACTTGTCCCAGAAGGAGCAGCTCGGCGTTCGATCGTTTCACTCAAGTTTTACACCAGCCGAAACTGCATGGAACCATCTGAAGGGGGTATACATGGCAAAGCATACAATAACAGTGAGTAAAATACTTTCGCAGCTGACAAGTGTGCAGATGATGACAAATGAAAACGTCATGGACTACGTTAACCGCGTCCGTACACTACGTGACCAACTGGAGAAGAGCGGGGGATACTTCCTTCGTGAGATGTATCTCACAGTCCTTCTGGCTGGCCTTGGACCCGAATGGCGACAGACGCACGCTTTCCTGCGCATGAATCAGAACCTCTCCGAAGCTAAAATTTCTTCTTACCTTCAAGCAGAGCAGCAAGATCTTGACCTGCAGTCACAACGTAACCAGAAAAGGGGGGTTCATTTAAGTTTTTACTCCAATCTAGAAACACAACATCGACATCCACCAAAGTACCCGTTCTGCCATTTCTGTAAGAAACCAGGACATACTTACCAAAACTGTCGCAGCCGTCATCAAAATCGTCGCAATACTTCGCAGCCGTATCAACGATCGCAACAGTTACCGAAAACACAACTACCACAGCAGCAGTTAACGTCTCAGCAGCAGCAGATACCGAAACCGCCATTGAATCCATCGACGTCGCAGCATCGTCTGCCGGTCTTCGCATCTGCCACATCAGGAAAAGGGGTTTTTGGCTGCGTCACCACAGTTGATGTTTCAGAAACAGATTTCGAAACACGACTTGAAGAAACAACATGTGCTGAAGGCATTCCTTTACCTCAAGTTTACGCTAACCTTGCTCGCATAATTTCAGGACCAAATACCTGGTATCTCGACAGCTACTGCGGATGGCATATGTGTTCTGCCGAAACAAGCTTTATCACTTATCAGCGTCCACTTCGTCGTCCGATACTTGTCACAGTCGCAAACGGACAAATTATAATGGCACGATCAGTTGGCAGTGTCATGCTCGAATCTATCGACACGGGATACTCACTTCATGTTACGAATGTTCTTATCGTCACCGGACTTGGCTTCAACCTTCTTTCCATGGCTCAACTCCTGGCACACAAAATACGTACACAAGGAAATTGTGAGACGATGGATCAAGAGCTCTGGCACAGTACAACTAATACCTACCTTGGTCGTGCGGCCACTCAACATGGCGTGTCGGTACTTCAGTTCGCAGCACAGGGAACTTCTGGCGATTCTGGACACGTGCTTGCACTTGGTCCCTGGGATCACCCAGAAGAAATCGATTATCAACATGTGGACATTGATTTTCGCGCAACTTCAGTACCAACAGCTTCTCGAACAGCAGCCGCCGTACTTACAGCGTTGGATACCTGGGAGTTCAATACCGCCGATGAAAGCGCCACCGCGTGGCGAACGTTTTACAATACACGTGCAGCCTTCCAAGGAACTCCAGCACCAATTTGGGGAGAAATAAGTGGTCTTGCCACTGATGAACCTGACGTTATTGAAGAAGCCGAACAGGAAGCTGTAGCTGAGCAGCCGAGTCCAACCGTATCTTTCGCCGAAACACCTGTCACGACATCAACAGAAGCAGTATCAGGGGTTATACTCACACCTGCAGCAACAACCTCACTAGTCACGTTACCTCTTCACCGTTTCGTCGAAGGAGTTATTGACAAGTCACCAGCCCTTTCTCCTTTCATTCTTTCTTCCTTTTATACTAACTCCGATTTTTACCTGCGATCATCAGGACACAAAGCCACGGAAGATATATGGCATCAGCGGCTAGGACATCCATCACAAGGGATTCTTGATCATTCAATCCGAGCAGCAGTTCTTGATAAAAATAGTTTACTTTTACCTGATGGCACGGAGATGAAGCCGCAGTCTCGTCCAACGGTTTGCACGACTTGTCCAGTTGCCAACCTTACGCACGATCCGTTTCCTAGTCATTTTCCCGGCTCAACGCGTTATCAACTGATGCAGAAAGTCTACAGTGACATACTCAACTTGTCTAAAGTAGGCCCTAAAGACGAGAAGTATGTGATCATCTTCATCGAAGCGTCTACACGATATGTTTGGACAGCTAACTTACCTGCGCGCCATCTCGCTCACTCCGTTTTCGTCGCATGGCTCGCTGTCGCTGAACGGGAGTCTGGCGCGAAACTGCAAGAATTTCAGAGCGATGGTGCAGGGGAGTACACCAGCAACAATTCACAGACTACCTTCAGACGCTCGGCATCAAACGGAAGCAGTCTCTGCCGCATGCACACCAACAGATCGGGGTAGTAGAAAGGTTGAACAGAACTTTGCAGGAGAAGATGCGTGCTCTGCTGACGCAGGCAGCACTTCCACCGCATTTTTGGCCGTATGCGATGGACCACGCCGTGCTGTTACACAATCTTCTTTCTTCAACGTCCCTGCCCAAGTTTTCTTCTCCACACCTGCAGTGGACACGAACAGTGGGAAGCACAAAACTTTTACGAGTTTTCGGGTGTGTTGTACAGTTTCGTCCTCCAACCGCAGCACTCGGAAAATTTTCTGAACGAGCAAAATGGGGGGTACACCTCGGCATAGAAAAATAGTATCACGCGTGGAAGATTTTGGACCTTCGCTCCCATCAAATCGTTCCATCACGTGATTGTCGTTTCTATGAACGACTCACCTTGCTCGTTTTTCGTGCTCACCAGGCAGCAGCCGCCAATCCTGCCAGGTTGTTCGAAGGCTCGCGTGCATTTGCAACTGACGAAGCCGAAGCTGATGTACAGGACGAGGATATTTCTGAAGCTTCCGAAGCTGCCGCAACAGACGTTCCCGAACCTGTCACCTCGACCGGCATACCTGAATTCATTCCTCTTGCAGATGCTGACCAGGATGATGTTCGCGAAGTTCGTCTCAGTTACGAACGCGACCACCAGCAACAACCGATGCCCGTCGTCTCTGACGAAGCAGTTCGTGTTACACCTGACGAAATTGGGGGGGAAGAAGGAGCAGAAGAAATTTTCGCAGGTGCAAACGAAGAACGTCCGCGTTTTACAGAAACAGGATTGCAGATACTGGGATTTGCAGTAGCAGTACAGTGCAACGACAGTAAGATACCTGAACCAAAAACCGTCCGACAAGCTCTTACGAGTCCTCACCGAGAAAAATGGCGCGAAGCCATGGACAAGGAGCTAACAGCACTCAAGAATCGCGGAATATGGGATTTAGTACTGACTTCAGAGGCCAAAGGGAAGAAGGTACTTACCGGAAAATGGGTCTTCCGCGTCAAGACTAATGCAGATGGGTCGTTTGAAAAGTTCAAAGCGCGATGGGTCGTCCGCTGATTCGAGCAGACTTACGGCATCGACTATGAACTAGCCTTTGCTCCTGTCGGGCGACATACAAGTGTTCGGATTCTTCTTTGTGTCGCCGCCTGCCGTAATCTACGTCTTCGCCAAATCGACATCTCGAATGCGTTTCTCTACGCGCCTGTCGACGCACTCATCCTCGTAGAGTACCCGCATTCTTATACTACTAACCTACCGAGCGTTTGCCATCTCTAAAAATCTCTATACGGCATTAAACAGGCACCACGACTCTGGCAGCAGTATCTTCACTCGCAGCTGATCATTGCTGGATTTCGACAGTTACCGCATGATCAGGGAATGTATCTACTGACCGACGACAGCAACTACATTTTATTCGTTGCTACGTCGATGACATCCTATACGTCAGTACTACTGATTCCCTTGCCGAGACCTTCATAATGAAATTACAGGAAAATCTACAGTTTACCGTCTCCGAAACAGTCTCACAGTTTCTCGGACTGAACATTACCTGTTCACTGACAACTGTTCATCTCACCGCTTCGAAGTATGCAGCAACACTCGCTGCTCGCTTCAACCTCACACCTACTGCAGTCTCTACACAGTACCGCTCACTACCGACTGACCACAAACCGAACACCGCACTGTTAACTTCAACCGGTTTACAGATCTATCAACAGCAGCTAGGCTGTCTACTTTTCGCCGCTGTCAGTTGTCGTCCTGATCTAGCCTATGCGGCCAGTCAGCTCGCACAGTTCCTACGCCGTCCTGAGGAGGAGCATCAGCTTGATCTTCTCCGCGCGCTTCAATATTTTATCTCGACACCTGACGTCGGATTAGTCTACAACGTCATCGGTTGTAAAACACTCTATCTACACGGTTTTGTCGACGCCGATCACGCTGCTGATTCTACTAATCGACGGTCACGCACTGGGTTCATCTATCGACTGGAACCTGTCGGACCTATCTCTTGGAATTCTACGAAGCAGGAGCTGATTGCACTCTCCTCTGCTGAAGCTGGGTTTATTGCTGTCTGCACAGCAACACGCGAAGGACTTTGCTTACAGGAACTATTGGAAGAAGCGAAGTTGATGACAACTACCCAGTTTACCCTACAGTGCGACAATCAAAGTGCAATTCGCATCGCACATCAGCTTGGTTTCGTCAACAGAATGAAGCATATTTCGCTTCGTTATTTTTTCGTCAAAGATGAAGTCGAGAAGGGGAGGATGCGATTGGACTACTGTTCGACCAACGAAATGGCTGCCGATTTTCTTACGAAGAAGCTGACACGACAGAAGTTTCAGTACTGTAACAAGCTCTGCGGAATCTTCAAGAAGTGACACTATCGAACTTCCAGAAATGAAGGGGAGTGTTGTGATATAATTGATACTTAGCATTTCTGTAAGTCGATTATGTGTAGTTAGTGTCGAATCATACTGTAGAAGATAAGTCCGTAGTATTAAACAGTAAAATTGATGAATAGAGAGAGAGAGTACACAAACATATACCAAACTGTTGTACTCTCTAGAAGATG